TGTCAACGTATACGACTCTACTTTATATATATATATATATATATATATATATATAACAGGAAAATCAGGAGTAGCTGCTTGGCAAAGTGTAGATATATATCACATAAAACTCAGGAACAAGGTATATATTTGCCAAATTTAATACAGAAAATTCACAAACGTTTTCGGCCATAGGCCTTCATCAGGTGAATAATAATATATATATATATATAACGTATATATAAAGACTTGTGTATATAGGCCTACATTTTTTCAGGTCTTATTTTCCAAATTTCTGGTTGTTAACTTACGAATCCATATTATAAGGAAACATAGGATGCCGGCTGCATTAAAAAAGAACACTAGCATCCATCGTCTGCCAAACCTCTGAATCGCAAACCAAGTAAAGAAGGTTGCCAGCAGCTCAGTAACGCCGCCTAAAGAAGTTGCAATGTAGATATTCAGATTCAGACTTTCAACACCATATGTCAACCCATAGTAAACAAGAGTTGTAGTGAGCCTGTGTAGGTAAACATAGTGTAATTTTCCTGGTGAGACTTTAGAATTTGTGAAAAACAAATTAAGCTCTACTCCTCGAATAACCCTCGCATGTGAGTTAAGCAGGATAAGGGAAAATGTATATACGTTAAATGTCCGTGCTGGCACTGCACAGGCAAAAATACTTAATATAATTATCAGAGCGGTTTCCCATCATGCGTTAAAAAATTAAACAAATCAAAAAACAAAACAAAAACAAAATAAAACAAAACAACCAAACATAATTACATTATCTGAAATAATCAAGTAATATTTGATCATGGTTTGATCCAGTAAATAATGAGACCACATATGCAACAAGTTTGAGTGATAACCTTCCAAGCGACATTTTCAGAGAGCCTTATGGGAATAATGAAGCAGGCAGGGACGTAGCCAGGATTTTGAAAGGGGAAAGCCGTTATGCGAGGTACGTAGGACTCGGCGGGGCGAATCCCCCTGTGAAGTAGCGCACTCTGAACGTTTTTAGGACTGTTTTGAGAGGATAAAGTGTAAATTGAAATAGACGCATCATAAATAATATTAGTAAGCCTAACGATAGTTATATAATAAATCAACAATATCGGATAAAGAAATTCGAAAGAAAGGTGACCCAGGGAGGGATTTTCACAGACTGAGGAACCACCTACCTCAGCCCCACCATGGTTGGGCTGAGGTAAGAACATTTATGATTAGGGCACCTCTAGATGCCCAAAATAACACTCTTAGACTTAAAAAAAAAACAAAAACCCGCCAGTGCTCAAAACATTCTTTATCCAAAAAAACATAATCATCAAAAATGGGCATAAAAACCCAGATCACATCCTAAAAACAAATTGATGCACCCTCGCCTCAGTGTCACTAAGACATAGGTACTCTTAGTCAGGTGCCAACTCGATGAAGTTAAATGTCATATCAAGGGAAGGGCGCAGATTTGTTTTGAAAGGTGGAAGGGGAGGACAATTTGTGAGTCGATACCCACCCTAGACCCACCATGGTTGGGGCTGAGGTGCGAACATTTGAGGAAATATCACCTCTAAATGGCCAGAAATGACACTTTTAGTAAAATTCATCATCATCACATCAACATTAGTCAAAATGAAGAGCCAAAAAAAAAATCTCATGATCTTTTATCAGGGATTTTCGGCAACATCTTAATATGTGTGATATACCATAGAAACAAAGCTTAAAAACATTTTCTTTGACTACCGTACTTATATACTTCAAAACTGTGATTTTACACCCACCTCAGCCCTACCATGGTTGGGGCTGAGGCGAGAAAATGTAAGGAAATATTACCTCTAGATGGCCGGAAATGACACTTTTATATAGTAAAATTCATTATCGTCAAATCACCATTATATAGTCAAAATGAAGCGCAAACAAATTTCTCATGATCTTTTATCAGGGATCTACTTATATCTAGGACAACTTAGGCCTAACTATGGCTTACTAAGCTTTAACTACTATAATAATTGTGATAAACAAATCACAACTTTTTTTTTCGCCTTTTTAACTTTTTAATATTGTTAATATTATTATCAATCATCATCATCGTTATTACTATTATTATTATCATTATTATTATTATTATTATTATTATTATTATTATTATTATTATTATTATCATTATCATTATTATTATTATTATTATTATTATTATTATTATTATTATTATTACTAGTTACTAGTATTTAAACAAAACTTTAAAGAAGCTTGCAAAAGGATAAAAACCAAACTGAACCACACATCACATTTCTGTATCTTAAAAGACTGGCCTGGGATTTATGGACTTAAGCTTTTTAATAACAACGCTTAGGCCTATTTTGTATTGGCTCAAGCTTTAAAATTTTTACACTGTGTACAAAGGGGGGGGGGGGAGCTGCAGCTCCCACGGCTCCCCTTGGATACGTCCCTGGAAGCAAGGAAATTGCACGCAATGCCTGCTGCACTTTCTTTTCTTTTATTTTTGCTGTATTTGTTTTTATTTCGTCATTTAACAGTCATAATATCAAAGCTTTACTGTATATTACCAACAATAAATTAGGATGAGCGTCTTCTTTCTCATGTTTGAAAAACGAAAGATGCTAACGAAGGATGCCCTCTTCAGTTCACGCTGAGGATTCTACGGAATAAAAAAAAAATGACAAAATGTTTTCAAATTTTATAGTAAAATATAAATCATGACGTAATATAATGCTTTAAAGACAGTAATCCAAGGGGCTTGTCCGGAGATAAGAGGAGCTTTCTATTTGCACGACGACGTCCCCTTGGAACAGATTTACTGATACTGGGTTCCAATGCACCCTTGAAAACAATGATCAGGCCTTCACAAGTCGTGAGATGCGTTTCAGTGCCGGCAGGGCTCCATTAGGTTTAGTAGTGATAATGAGCCTCGTCTATTGGGACGAAACCTTGTGAAATTAATTGTATTACCAGTTATAAATGTGAACCAACTCATTTATCTTTGCTCTATGATTAGATACAAATGAAAAATCGTATTCTATGATAGTATGAAACAAACTCCGAAAAAGGAGTTTTTCTTGAGTATGTTTTACACTATATTAAGCCAAACTTATCGATGAACCCCCATTAGTAACTCACATTCTGTACTTCAATGTTGTCAACCACATCGTCAGGAAAATTCTTCTTGTTAACTTTAGCGATCTTTTGAAGAATTTTTTTGGCCTCTTTTGGTCTATTCTTTAATAGGAGCCAACGTGGAGACTCTGGAATAAAACTTTTTAAAAACGAGATTTTGTTAATATTTGTTTTCGAATTTGCCGATTGAAAATTATGAATTAAGTATTAT